GAATTTTGTTACATACAGATGGCTCCACATGTGCTCAGCCGGCAAGGAGTCTATTAGTGGGCCCTAGTGACCGATCCTGATTTCTCCACTCCTTGAATTGGCGGGAAAATGTGTTTTTCTTTTTAATGCAGTTGAAATCGATACTGCTTTTATTGTTATTGATGTTATGATTATTAAATTGTTATTACAATCTCGATAACATTTAAGACAATGAAATAATGCAAAAGGTCCTTTCCAAAAGTCGAGGAAAAGGGTAAACAGATGAGATAGGTAGGACTAATAACTGACTCCTTGGTGACTAAGCACTTAAAGAGCCATCTAAGTGTAAATACAATAAATAAACTTGTCATACTTTGGGCATGGCATGTATTCTTACTATACGTGGCGATTGGGTTAACTTAAAGAAAAACCTTGTGGGATATTCCTAAGGAGGGACCCAGGTTCATATTACATGTATGTTTTTCTGTAGATGAATGAAGATGTAATATGAATGCCAAGGATATTAAAGCCATAAAACAGTACCGATATTCCATATTCCATCCGATTGTCCATACCATCGGTGAGAGATGAACTTAGAGACAGTGAGGTCGACAGGAGATGCTTATAAACCCTCATTGGCAACTTTTATTTAGTTGTTGCCGGCGGTGAGGAAATCGATTGTTTGTGTGAGATTGCAGCAAGTATCTGGAAATTCTAGAACAGGGATTCCCAACCTGGGGCCATGGAGCAATGTGGAAATTATAACTTCGAATTAAACTGGATATTGTCTCATCTACAGTACCTTCAGATAATTCTCTCATATGTCAATAAATTGGATTTTTTTCGTGCCCTGTAGCTATTAGCACCATTACACTATTCGTAACTATTAATAACTGAATCTGAAGAGATGACAGATACTGAACGTAGCTATGGAAAAGTTTGGGAACCACTGACCGATAACATGTAAGCCTACATCTGTTTAGACATGCAGATATGACTGTTTGTCTCCGTGTATAATTTCAAAAATGGCTTTTGTATCAGTCATATATACTTTATAAGCCTCCATGTAAAAAAAAGAGTCTCTGGGGCTTTAACAAAAAAAAAAAGAAAAGAAAAAAAGAAAAGTACACATGTGGGAAGCGTAGTTAGGATGAACTGTCACCTTTTTTATTTTGTTCCTAAACTGGAAAATTATTGTGTAAACAGTGACTGCAGCAGATATGTGTTTTTCAAAATCATATTTTGATGACTTCTATCCCACAGTAACAGTAAATCAACTTACGAAAGACAGGTGTTTTCATGGTATAAAATGATAAATTAAAAATTGTTCCTTTATGACCAAGGAAAAGCGCCTCTGTCGATAGAAATACTTGAATTGTACGCTGATAGATAGACATATAGACAGACAGACAGATAGAGAGATAGAGTGATATAAAAGAGAGAGAGAGAGAGAGAGAGAGAGAGAGAGAGAGAGAGAGAGAGAGAGAGAGAGAGAGAGAGAGAGAGAGAGAGAGAGAGGGGAGAGAGAGAGACAGAGAGAGAGAGAGAGAGAGAGAGAGAGAGAGAGAGAGAGAGAGAGAGAGAGAGAGAGAGAGAGAGAGAGAGAGAGAGAGGGGAGAGAGAGAGAGAGAGAGAGAGAGAGAGAGAGAGAGAGAGAGAGAGAGAGAGAGAGAGAGAGAGAGAGAATGAGAGAGAGAGAGAGAGAGAGAGAGAGAGAGAGAGAGAGAGAGAGAGAGAGAGAGAGAGAGAGAGAGAGAGAGGGAGTGAGAGAGAGAGAGAGAAAATGAGTGAGTGAGGGAGGAAGGAATGGAGAGAGAAAGAGAAAGAGGATGGGAGAGATAGATAAACAGATAAATAGATAAAGTAATGAAAATGTATCGATGTATCGATTTTTCAATACATCTCGAGAAAAACATAGCGATTTTTTTTAGCGATAAAAAGATATGGGTACTGAGTAGCTGATACCGATACCAACACAAAAGTATCGATCTCTCTTTTACTGTCAAAAGGATAAACTCTCTCGATTCTGTAAAATCGTTTTTTAATATACTGAATTTACAGTTAAGGAGAGTCGTAGGTCAGGAATTTCATCAACGTCTGGCATTAGTCTCAGGTGCTGATTAATTACATCACAGAAGCTAATAAAATAATTAATGTATTTTGACCGAAGTCGATCAATGTATTAGTGTACAGTTTACCACAGGAACTGTCTAAAAAAAGAATCCTTAAGATTATGTAATTGTTTGTAGGTTAAGTGCCACTTGACTGCAACTGGTATTAACTCTGGTTTGGAAAAAAGTTTGCATACTTTTTTTTTCTCGGTATGAAAATACAATAGTAAAGAAAGGTCAGAGTTCAATCAAGAGGATTTATATGCAAAAATACCAAACTCTTTTTCAACAACGACTCGAACGAAAAAAAAAGAGAGAGAAAGAAGAGGCTGCTTAAATGAAACACGAGCCATTTCGACCACAAAATGAAAGTTTTTTTATTTCGTTTTTTCTTCTCTATGATACAGCCA